AGCAGCTCGGCCCAGCGCGGGCTGTTGTTGTGATACAGCACGAAGGAGCGGTACTCGCCGGCGGGCGGCTCTCCGGAGCCCAAGGAGATGAAGTCCTGGCAGAGGAAACGCGCGGTTGAAAGACAGCTTCGTTTAAAAGCTATTTCGAAAGCGGGCAATCGCTTTGCCCAGTCGGCCGGCTCCCCAAATAGCACAGCACGTGGAATGACCCCCTCAGACCCCTGCACGCTGTTCCTGCACGTGCTGCTGCCAGAGGGATGCGGCCACTTAACGCTGAGGCTGGTCTCCCAGGGCCTCGCTGACGTGGGTGACGTGGGCGACATGGGCATTGACGTGCCCAACGACGCAGCAAAGTTCTCCATCCGCTGCGGTCAAAAGCCTGTGAAACTCACTCAGCCCCGGGCTCACGCAAAACACATGCCATAAAGGAACCCGTGATTATCACCCCGATTAGTCATACCCCAATCCTCACGCCTTATTGTGGTCAAAATGAAAACACATCAAATTAAATGTGTATTTTTTTTGTTTTTATCAACTGCCAGGGGAAAAGTATTCATCTCCCAAACTATAACAGATGAAAGGGAAAAAGTTAAATGGCATAAAAAATATTATACTGACCGAATATTAGCTCTGAGGAAATTGTTGACACAATTAATTAAACAATTAAACTGCAAAAGCCGTTTTGTTTTCCTACTTTCCTTTCTGAGACACATTTTAATGATTAAAAACATACACAGGGCGGAGAAGACAAGTAAGGTTGAAAATATTGTAAATCAGAAATGAACTGATCTCCTTAAGAATGAACCCAAAGCGATGATACAGAATTGACTTACCACAAAATATCAGCATGAACGTACCTGCAAGGTCTGGCCGCTGCTCTCTACAATGAACATCGTAACTTCCACGTTTCTGGCCACACTCTTGCCTCCTTTCTCAAATTCTCCCCTTTCTATAGTGATGTATAAATCATTCCTCATTTCACCTGCCAGGAGAGGAAAATTCAAACCGTTTTATACACACGAGGAAGTGTAATCAAGTACTGTATGAAGAAAAACTTTAGTTCATAAAGTCTAGTGTTATAGCACACACATAAATGAAACATACATTCTCTGAGCACTTTTCTAAAAGGGTCCTCACCCTCACTGCCAATCTCCAAGAACAGTACAGGTCAGCCTCTGCAGGTCTGAACGAGCAATGCTGGCATTGTACACTTAGGAGGTGAGTGCCGGGATTGAGCACAAAGGTGTTGTCCAAGTTTCACATCTTTCAGTGTTTCCCTCATTTCATGGATGAGGTGTGATCACAAAATGACCACCTGGCAGGGCTCGCTCAAAGAAACCAGTCTTAACACTTTATAGTCACAGCCTTTAGAGTAGAAGAAATATCTAAATGGGATAAAATGGTAGGACTGACTGCAAAGGGTACCATCAGAATTTGAATCTTTTCCAAAATTTGGACCAAATGATCTCACTGCTGGAAGAGCCCAGACTGGAGCTTTATGAACACAGATGTAGAATAATTCAGTCATACAGGCACACTTACTTAATATTTCTTGCCATCAAGCTATAAAACAAACAAGAAAGGCCCTAGATTCAAACTGACATATTCCATGTACACATGTGCCACCTATTATTTGTAAACCTTGAAAGCTTTTTAATCTCACCCTTATCTGATTACTGCAAAAAAAAAAGAGGAATTTAATGCCAAGTAGCAAACTCAGACGAGCATGCTAATAGCAGGCTTTTACCACTCCTACAGGAATGAAATCAGGGTGAAGGGGTGAGCGGACAGGGACGTGAGAAATGCGTGAACAAAGGGCTACTAGAAAGTTCTGACAAGTAAATGCCGGTCAGGTTGGCGAGGTTGAATTTGCTTTTACTTAACCTAGCTTTCAAACATTGGAAGAATCAAAAGCAATACTCTTTTTTTCTAATACAAAACTTCCCCAGAAGAAAGCAAATCACTAGCAGGGGCAATAACCATACAAATACGCCCACGATTGGGAGACTTGTAAAATTCCCTGACCCAAGTGTGTACAAGGAAGTACCCGAGCTTTCAAAAGCATGGGGGAATACCAGCGTGCCTGGTCACCTTGCTCCGTAATGACCAACTTTTTATGACGGCATCCTTCTCAAATGCCATGGGGTGATTAGGAAACAGGAGGGCAATAAAATAGAGATACTGAGTAAGTCTTAAAAAGATGAAATCTTTCCATTTATTTTTTTAATTAAATTTACGGGGGTAACATTGGTTGATAACGCTACATAAATTTCAGGTGCATAACTTTGTAATATGACAACATCTGTATACTCTATTGTGTGCTCACCGCTCCAAGTCCGGTCTGGTCTCCTTCCGTCACCATATATTTGACCCCCTTCACCCTCTTCATCTTCACCTACCTCCTTCCCTTCCGGAGCCACCATTCTGTGGTCTGTGTCTATGAGCTCTTTTTCTGTTGGTTCATTTGTTGCTTTTTGTTTCATGTCCCGCATATGAGTGATACATGGTCCTTGCCTTTCCTGTCTGACTTCTTTCACTTAGCATGATACTATTAAGATCTATCCATGTTGTTGCAAATGGCAATATTTCATCAAAAAGGATGAAATCTTAACCACCCTTTACAAAGAGTCTATAAAAATACATGAGTGAAAATAACTGATACAGTGGTATCTGTCTTATGAATTTCTAGTACTTTCATAACAGCTCATACGAATCAACTTGAGAAGGCAATGAACTTGGAATTCCTGAAGAAAAGCAACACATTTCAAACTATTTAAAATCATGTTTGTACAGATACATGCAAAAAATAAAAATGAAACTGGACCACCTTCTTCCACCATATACAGGAATAAATTCAAAATGGATTAAAGATTTAAATCTAAGATCTGAAACCATAAAACTCCTAGAAGAAAACATAGGCAGTAAACTGTCTGACACTGCTCTTAGTGATATTTTTTCTGCTCTATCTCCTTTAGTTTGATGGGACTACATCAAACTAAAATTTTTTGCACAGCAAAGGAAACCATCAACAAAATGAAAAGACAACCTACTGATGGGAGAAAATGTTCATTAATGATACATGTGCTAAAGGGTTAATATCCAAAAATTATAAAAAGCTCATTCAACTCAACATCAAAAAAAACCCCAAACAATCCAATTTAAAAATGGGCTGAGTACCTGAACAGACATTTCTCCGAAGAGGACATACAGATAGCCAACAGACACATGAAATGATGTTCAATGTCACTAATCATCAGGGAAATGCAAATAAAAACCACAATGAGATACCAACTTATTCCTGTCAGAATGGTTATTATCAACAAGACAAGTAATAACAAGTGTTGGTGAGGATGTGGAGGAAAAGGAACCCTCATACACTGTTGGTGGGATTGAAAATTGGTGCAGCCACTACAGAAAACAGTCTGGAGGTTCCTCAAAACACTAAAAATAGAACTATCTTATGACCCAGAGATTCCAATTCTGGGTATTTATCTGAAGAAATACAAACACTAAATAAAAAAGATATATGCACCCCTATGTTCACTGAAGCATTAGTTACAATACCAAGATATGGAAACAATTGAAATGCCCATCAATAGAAGATTGGATAAAGAAATTATGGGGGCCGGCNTCTCCCATGATCTTTCCCCAACTCCAAGTTCAACGACACTATGTCGGTAGCTTGAAATTGGCCATGCTGTGTGTATTTACCCCATGGCAAGCGGCAAACACTGGAACTCAGGGCTCCCCTTATCCCTGTCCCCCACCCCGAGGGCTGGTTATTAACATTTACAGCACACCACCAAACTATACATTCTCATTCTCGAGTTTAAGTGTCTAGCTTGGACCTCATTCAACTGTCTAGTTGATGTTTTGAATGTCTGATAGACTTCTCAGATTTAACATGTCTAAAATGGAATGTGTGATGTTTGCTATCCTAACAGATTCTTGCCGTAACCTTCCCCACTTCATTAAATGGCCACTTCATTCTCAGGCCAAAATCTTGGGGTCATCCTTGACTTTTCTCCTTCTTTCAGATCCAATCTGTCAATAAATCTGTAATAAAAGCATCAAATCCACTACTATCCTAATGCAAAGCACGTTATAATTTCTTAGTTGCAGGACTGCAAAAGCCTCCTGAATGGTCTTTCTGTTACCACCTGGCCCATCCACAATCTATTCTCCATATAGCTGCCAGACTTCCTCTCAATCTAAACCTTCTAATGGCCTTCCTCACTCCAAATAAAATCCACAGTCCTCCCCACAACCCAAAGGCAATACAGGGTCCACCTCCTTGTTACCACTTTGGCTTCATCTCCAAACTCGCTTGCTCATTCTGGCCTCTTTGCTATTCCTTCATAATGCCAAGGATGTTTCACTCTCAACTGTTTTGTACTTGCTGTTCTCTCTGCCTGGAATAGTCTCTCCCCAGACACCTATGGGCTCACACCTTTACTGCTTTTAGTTGTTGCTGACTTGACACATCTCCTTATCAGAGACGTCTTTCCTGACTCCCTATGTAAAATGGCAACACAGCAACATCACTTTCTAGCACCTAACCCCAATCTAGTCTTCTTCACTGCACTTATCACTACCTGATAAAGTATGTATTGATTTGCTCGCAGATATTATCTATCTTCCTTTTCTAGAATGGTAGCTCTATGAGAGGAACTATTTAGCTGTGTTCACTGATGCATCTTCAATGCCCAGTAAAGTGCTTGACACACAGTAGGTGTTCAATAAATATTTGTTTCATGAATGTTACTTTTTAATAAATATATGCACACAGAGAGAAATATTTGCAATGTTTTATCATGTGATAAAATGATTACATTGATTATTTGTAGTTTATGAGGTTATGGGTATTTTTTTAATTTATGTTTTGCTGTATCTTCTGAATATAATGATCAAAATGAAAAAAAAAAACAACCATGAAAACACATTTTAAGTACAAGGACAACAGGACAGGTTTTACTAAAACTAGCCTGTATTCCACTTTCCAACTTCTGAGCTATAACAATTTTCTCCAAATGCTCTTTCTCCCTTTTCTTCCATTTCACGTTTACTTTCCTCTTTTCCTTACCTTAAAGCTCAAAGCTCGTATTAGGCCCAACTGAGAATTTATACCACAGACTGGTGGGAGGAACAGTATGGCACCATGCCAAGTCCTTTATGCTTTCTACTTCAAGTCCTGCCCATGAGGCTCTCCTGAGAATTCGGAAGAACGCTGCTAGCCATGTCCATAGTTTCTGAAACATCCACAAAAGCGTAATCCAGGAAACTTCCTGAGCCAGTTCCGAAACATGCTCAAGTCCCAGCAACAGACAGACTCCTTCTTCTCTCCCTGAACCCTGGGGGAATGACACAGCCCTCAGGCCAAGTCACTATCTACTGGCTACGCATCCGTTCCTCCCAGACTGATGCTTTTGGAGGAAACACTTCAGTGACACAGGGAACACCAGAGGATCCCTGGACTAGGGGTGGGTGGGTGCTTGAGAGTAATGAATACAAAATAATTAAAATAGAGATGTCAAGAAACGGCAACTTTTTGGATAGTGATGTTTACATGGACAAATCCTGTCACATTTCTA